GCCAAAAATGCTCCTTAAAAAATCTGATGGAAACCATGGAAAAAAAAAACAAAAAAAACATGCACTGTGATGCGTTCTAACAACGCACTGCAGCTCCTGTGCCTGGTGTCCACCACAATATGGTGCACGTGTATGTTATGTGTGTGTGGGGGAGAGGGGGTTGTGCTTTTTTTTTTTTTTTTTACACTTTCTTTTATTTTTTAATTATTATTTATTATTTTACTGTTGGGGGGGGCTTCGGGGAAATATTTGGGGTCTAATTAGGGGACCCCTGACATTCAACTTTTGAAATAGAAAAAGACATTGAGGATACAGAGTCCTCAATGTCTTTTTCTGCAGCCTCTGCACTCACTGAATGGGAAGCACTCAGTACAGAGGCTTCCCATTCATTCACAAACTGCTGATAGTAAGATATTTACTATCAAGCAGATTCTCAATGGGGAAAAGCCTCTGTACTGAGTGCTTCTCCCTGTTCTATGTGTCATTCATAACTGGGGACACATAGTACTACGTGTCCCCAGTTATTTACAAACACTGGAGTGATCAGTGTTTGTGCTGCACACAGAGGATCGGTAAATATCAATGATACTTACCAATCCTCTGCTCGGCCACTTACAAAGCCACTGTCATCCTGAAACTGACAGGAGGACAGCGGCTCCGCTCCCCTCCCCCCGCCTGCCGATCGATCACAATGATCGAGCGGTAGGCGGGGAGGAGAGCAGAGCTGCTGTCCTCCTGTCAGTTTCAGGACGGCAGCGGCTCCTCCGCTGTCTATTTTTTCGAATCCCCGCTGCCTCAGCCCATACAAGCGGGGGAGAGTAGTGGGGATCCGGGCCCCCCCAGTGCCGCGGGCCCCATAGCGACCGCATCGCCACTGTATACCACATCCACCGGCCTCCCTCCATCCAGATCTCTACTCACCTCTTCATAGAATGTCAGTAGGTTGGTCTGACAGGAATGGTCCTTCCTAAATCCGTGCTGATTATCGCTTATAATACCGTTATCACAAACAAAATCCACTAAATAGTCCTTTATCATTCCCTCTAACAGTTTGCATAATTTTGATGTTAGACTGATGGGTCTGTAGTTCCTAGGTTGGCCTATTGACCCTTTTTTCAATATTGGCACTTCTGTAGCCTTCCGCCAGTCACTCGGTACCTTACCAGTTATTATGGAGTCCTTGAAGATGAGGAATAATGGTCTCGCTATAACCTGGCTGAGTTCTTTAACCTCTTGCCGTCCGCCCGTAGTAAAAAAACGGACGGACGGCACTGCTACATCTGCGGGTTGCCGTCCGTCTTTTCTGCCCGTGCGTGCCCGCTAGGCAGAAAAGACCCGACCGTTGCACACACCCGTTACCGGGTGTTTCACATATAGGCGATCAGCGGGTCCATAGCCCGCCGATCGCCTA